TCTTACCACTAAAACCAATAGATCTACAATTAAATTATTAATTTAGAACTAATAAAAATTTTAAAGATGATTTTTTAATTTATTTATGGTCAACTTAATTTGAAGTATGATTTTTTACTTTTATTTGTGAAAAATGATAATATATTTTTGTTATATTTTGCCCAAATTTTTTTTTTGTTATATAATTTAAAATAACTTATAAAATATTATATTGTTTAGTTATTATTATTATTAATCTTTTTTAATATAAAGAATACAAATGTTAGTGTACAGCATACATCTTACCAATCGTGCTTTCATATTTAAAGTCACAACCAAAATTCTACAGCCATAATTCTAAAGCTACAGCTACAGCAAAAAAATGTACAGCTCATATTCTATAGCCAATTCTAGCGCTACAGCTCTTTCCAATCATGCCCAAAGTCTCAAAAATCTAACAAAAGGTTTAAAAAACAAATAAACTGATCGGGTCATATTTTGTTATTATATAATTGCCATTATTGACCTTTTAAAAAAAACAAGAATCACGATTTCTCCGTTTGTGACCGTGGCCGCAGAGTCTGCGGAGGCGCCAGATACGCACAAGACGAAGGTGTGCCGTCGGAAAAATTGGATTAAAAATCAGAAGTTGAAAATGGATATACGATGTTAGATCTACTAGTTTTAGACTAAATCCAGTTGAAAACGAGTTAAAATATAGTAAGAACGAGGTAAAATGTGGCTGGCGGGCATAGTTAGGATTTGGCAGAAGCTGGGCCGTGTGGAGAAGATGAACAGTAAATTACGATTTTACCCTTTATTGAATAACTCTATCACTACTATAAATAAGTCTACCTCATATTATAAATCAATATCTTGGAGAGCATGATTGAGTTGCGGTGAGAATAGAAAGACTTCAATATCGGAGCTGTGTAGTGGTTTTTTTGCGTTTCTTTTTTTCACTTCTTGGAGGATCATCAGTAGGGATGATGTGCCAACACTTTTTCCCTCTATGTCAAAATTAATGTTGA